GCCACCGCACTCCAGTCTGGGTGACAGAATGAGACTCCAACTCAAAAAATAATAATAATACAATGCTCCAAAATCCATTGGAGATGGATTGATGCCATAAGTAGAAAATTCCTTTGTGACATGCCTGAGCAACTTGGCGAGACCTCATCACTACAATGAATCAAAAAATTAGCCGGGCGTGGTAGCACGCACCTATAATTCCGGCTACTCGGGAGGCGGAAGAATCGCCGGAGCCCAGCAGGTCGAGGCTGCGGTGGCCAGGAGCGGCCACTGCACTCCAGTCTGGGCAACAGAGTGAGACTCCAACTCAAAAAAAGAAAAAGAAAAAAAAAGGAAATTCCACACCTGGCATCATGTGATGGATCACATATATTACTTAATATATTGCCTAGGCTGCGCATGGTGGCTCACGCCTATAATCTCGGCACTTTGGAAAGCTGAGTTGAGAGGATTGCCTGAGCCCACAGGTTCAAGACCAGACTGGGCAACTTGGAGAGACTTCACCTGTACAATAAATCAAAAAATTGGCCGGGCATGGTGGCATGTGCCTGTAGTTTCAGCTACTTGGAAGGCTGAGGCGGAAGGATCACCTGAGCCCAGCAGGTCCAGGCTGCGGTGGCAGTGAGCGTGCCACTGCATTCCAGCCTGGGCGACAGACTACAACTCAAAAAAAAAAAAAAATTGCATAAAACTGCCAGGAAAGAAGGGGCATGCCTCATCAACAAGAGTACCTGCACAATGAACACTTGTATACCTAACCCTGAATTGCACCCACAAGTTTAAAATAAAAATTTTAAAAAACCTGGCGCGGTGGCTCATGCCTGCAATTCCAGCACTTTGGGAGCCTGAGGCAAGAAGACTGCCTGAGCTCACAGGTTCAAGACCAGCCTGGGCAACACGGTGAGTCTTCGTCTCCACAATAAATTAAAAAATCAGCTGGATTTGGTGGCACATGCCTGTGGTTCTAGCTACTTGGAAGGCTGAGGTGGAAGGATCGCCCAAGCCCAGTAGGTTGAGGCTGTGGTGGCCGTGAGTGTGCCACTGCACTCAAGTCTGGGTGAAAGAGTGATACTTCCACTCAAAAAAAAATCGTATAAAATTACCTTCAGCCTACGTTATAAAGTATATGTGAAATATAAGTGAATTATATGTTTAGACTGGGATCTAATCCCCAAGCTATCTCATTACATATATATAAATAGTCCAAAATCTGAAAACACTCTGGTCCCAAGCATTTCAAATAAGGGATATTCAGCCCGTAATAAAGTTTATTCTTTGGCTGGCCACAGTGGCTTACGCTTATAATCCCAGCACTTTGGGAGGCCGAGATGAGAGGATAGCCTGAGCAAATTGGTGAGACCTCATCTTTACCATAAATCAAAAAGTGAGCCAAGTGTGATGGCTCATGCCTGTAGTTCCAGCTACTTGGAAAGCTGAGGTGGAAGGATCACCTGAGCCCAGCAGGTCGAGGTTGTGGTCATGAGTGTGTCACTGCACTTCAGCCTGGGTGACAGAGTAAGACTACAACTAAAAAAAAAAGTATTTTTACACTAATTTTACCTGTTTCTTTTTAATGTGACTACTAGATTATTTAAGTTTACTTATGTGGTGTGCATCATATATATTGCACAACACTGCCTAGGTAATTTTTTAAAATCCCTACACCAGGAAAACTGAGGTGTAGATTAGGAGCTTGCTCAAGGGGCCCTTCAGTCAGGATGTAGCAGCAGGGTTTAGCCCAGGTCTGTGTGAATTCCAATGCAGGTTCTGCCCACAATAGCAGCCTTCCCCCATGGTAAGGTGACAAGATGGGGCAAGGATAAAATGAGAAAGGAAAGATATGGGGAGGTGAAGTGCTATTACCTTCGCCTTTGAATCCTTGCAAGTGGCCAGATAGGCAACTGTGGGAAAAGATGAAGAGGAAATGGGACAAGGAAGTAGAAGGGGGGAAGGGCAGAGGGATGGGTGTCAGGCTTCTGGGATTAGATGGGAAATGTCTGACATTTGGGGTCATGGTGTGGGTGGGCCTCACACTCACCAACCCAGCCGAGCGCCTTGATGAGCCCGAGCAGAAGAAAGGCAGAAAGGAAAAGGCCTACACCGTCCTCGAGGGAGGGTCCAGAGAGACCTGGCAGGCAGAAGGGTGGAGAGAGAGCCTGAGTTCATGTCATCCTGATGCTGACTGAGCACCACCAC